AAATTACCTTCTTCAACAAAGATTACACCTACCTTGTTTTCAACTGGTACAATACTCACATTCTGTTCGGTTCCAGTTTTTATCAGCAACAGTATAAGAATCCTAAAGATATATTTACTAAATAACACTATTAATCACCTATAAAACATTTAACATTTAAACAAATAAACATATAACAAGTATAAGTATATATATATATATTTTCTTTTACTTTCATTATTTACAGTTTTTCAAGTAGTCTATCATGTTATTAAATGCATTAATAACACTAGCTTCGTATGATACAGCGTTAACTGTATTTAGGTTATTTTTAGACTTATGTACGACTACTTTCGGATTGAATTGTACTTGTTTCTTTTGCTTAGTATGTGTCACTTCTGGTTGGGTTGGTATAGGACCTCTTGATCTGAGATTATACTCGTGGGTCACTATATCAGCTCGTGTCGTTAATGAGGTACTATGCATATTATCCTCATTGTTAGTAGTAATAACTGGTGTATCTTCTGTTGTTATTAATTTATCACCTAGTATTACGTTATCTTCTCTTTCTACTCTCGGCATTTCTGGTTCTGAGTCTATTATTTCTTCTTCTTTGTAAAAAGAAGAATCAAATTCCTTTAAGTTCTCAGCTTATTCCTAAATATCCTTATCCTGTTCTGTTTGTTTAGTTTCTTGTTCTACACATTCATACTGATAAGGTTTATAACCTTTTACTTTCTTTTATCTATTAACATGCACTAGCTGTTTACCTTTTCCATAGATTTCTTGAATCTCAAAATTAACTGGATTAGTTTGTTTAAGGACTCTAAATGGACTTTCCATAACTTTGCTAACTTTTGAGTGTTTCCTTTCTTAACAATTGGGGTGTATAACAACACTTTGTCCCCCAACTTTATATTACTAATTTGTGCCTCCTTAATTACTTGTTTCTCTCTACTTTCAGCAGCTTTAGTTAAATTTTCGTTAGCTAACTCAAATGCCAACTGCATTTTCTGTAGTAGTTCTGCCTTATAGTCATAATCAACTGCATAATTAACTTTTCTAGGAGCTAATATCTCCTGCATGGGTAACATAACATCTCTACCATGCAATAATAAGAATGGATTTCCTAAGTAGGCTCATTTTCAGCACTTTTATATGCTAACAATAACAAGGGGATCTGCTCATCCCAAGTTTTCTGATCCTTCTCACAGTATTGAGAGATCATATCTAACAAAGTTCTATTAAATCTTTCTACTAAACCATTAGCAGCTGGATGATAAGCTGTGGTTTCGATTTTATTTACACCTAGTAATTCACAAACTTCCTTCATTAACTTAGAAATGAAGTTACTACCTCTATCTGTTAATAGATATTGGGGTATACCATGTCTAGCTACTATGTGATTTACGAAAGCTTTAGCTATTGTTTCTGCTTTCTGATCGGGCAATCATATAGCCTCCGGAAACCTAGTTAAGTAGTCCGCGACTACTAACACGTATTTGTTTCCAGCATAGGATGTAGGCAAGGGGCCTAGTATATCCATAGCCACTAGTTGAAAAGGTGTGGTTAAAGTCGGCATTCTTTGTAAGGGTGCATTTCTTAAATGGGGACTAGTTTTTCGTCTCTGGCATTCTAGACAAGACTCGCAGTACTCTTTAATGTCTTTCCGCATGTTTAACCAAAAGAACCTTCTGCTTTTTCTACTATATGTCTTAGCGAAAGTTAAGTGTGCTGCAAAAGGTGTGTCATGGTAAGTTTTCATGACTTTTGTTCTTAGCTTAATTGGCACAACTATTTGTATAGTCCTACCGTCCTTAACTTTTCTACATAAAATATCCGAATCTAACATGTATTCTGTTTCATCTCCTTGTGTTACTTTACTGCGTAAGTTATTTATTTCTGGATCTTTCTTTTGTTCACTAATTATATGATCTAAGTCCCAAATTACTTCTAATTCATTTTCATGTTCTGATTGTACTTCTTTTATCTGATTGATTGTTTGTTTTTCTACAGTTCCATTATTTTCTACTCTGATTCTACTTAAAGCATCTACATTAGAATGTTTTTTACCTGGTCTATGTATTATTTCAAAGTCATAATCTTGTAATAGTAAAGACCATCTAGCTAATCTAGAGGAAGGATCTTTTAATGTCATTAACCATTTTAAAGGTGCATGAACTGTCATAATGGTAAACTTTCTGCCGTATAAATAGCAACGAAAGGTTTTAATTCCATGTACTACAGCCAAGCACTCTTGTTCTGTAACTGAGTAATTTATTTCAGCTTTTCCTGTCTACATTGATAAGCTATAGGGTGTTCTTTACCATTGTCATCTAACTGTGGTAATACTGCACCTATAGCGAAACCTGAAGCATCTGTGCTTAATATGAATTCTTTACTAAAATCTGGGTTGCTTAGGATTGGTGCTTTTAATAAAGCTTCTCTCAGTTTTTCGAATGGTTCTTGTCTTTTATCTGTCCAATGAAATTTTGTTTCTTTCTTAGTTAACTCAGTTAGAGGTTTTGCTAATAAAGCAAAATGTGGTATAAATCTTCTATAGAATCCCACAAATCCTAAAAATGCACGAATATCTTTTACGGTACTGGGTAATTTCTACAGACTTCTAACCTTTTAGGGTCTGGTTTTACACCGTTGGCGGTCACTATATGACCCAAGTATTCTACTTCATTTTTCAAAAACTGACATTTACTTGGTTTAAGCTTTAAGTTTGCTTTTCTTTATCTATTGAATACATGTCTTAACCTTTCTAAGTGTTCTTCAAAACTTGCAGCGAACACTATAACATCATCTAAGTAACAGAAACATTCGGAATCTTGCAAGCCTGACAATACAACATCCATTAATCTCTGGAATGTTGAAGGGGCATTGCATAAGCCGAAAGGCATTCTGTTAAACTGGTATTTACCTGAAGGTAATACGAAGGCGGTTTTATCTTTATCTTCTTCTTGTATCTCTACCTGCCAATATCCACTCTACAAATCCATAGATGAAAAGTATTTACTTTTACCTAACCTATCTAAAGTTTCTTGGATATTCGGTAACAGGTAAACGTCTTTGACTGTTACTCCGTTTACTTTATGAAAATCCACACAGAACCTTAATTTTCCGTCCTTTTTAGGAACTAATACAACTTGAGATGCGTACGGACTACTACTGTCCTCTATCACACCTTGTTCAAGCATCTCTTTTACACATTCTTTTAATTCAACCCTGTGTTTTTCGGGTACTCTAT